GCCAAAAAAGCAAAAAAAAAAAAAAAAAAAAAAAAAAAAAAAAAAAAAAAAAAAAAAAAAAAAAAAAAAAAAAAAAAAAAAAAAAAAAAAAAAAAAAAAAAAAAATTAGAATCAAGTAAATAAAAAGTCTAAATAGACTGTTCTTGAGCTGTGGATCATAATCCCTTTGGGGCCACAGGGGTCATATATCAGATATCCTACATATCAGATATTCACATTAGGATTCATTAGGCCTTTTGAGATAGGGCCCACCTCCTCAGACTTATGGGAAAAACAGAGAAAGGCACAGCATGAGGAGCAGAGGCACGAACCTCAAATAGGAGACAGGCATATTCTAATCATATCTAGTAAAGCAAGCATGTTGGAATTTAAGACAGGAAACAGACATGCATGAAACTTGCTCTCCAGACTTAATGTAAGTCCTTAAGACAACACTCCACATGGGCTTCCCACAACAGAGGCTCTGCATGTCCTCAGAGGCCTGCTGACACACAGCTCCCAGTGGAGTTGGCTCTGCCTTCTTTCATCTGGCACATCTCTTAGCTTTGCAGGCGTCTCAGCCAAAGGATTTGGATGGTTGCCTACAAGTCACCAATAGCCGCAGCTTAACAGGATTGCAAAAAGATCATTTCTCTCGCACTGCTGAATGCTGACAGATAGAAAAGGCAAAGACTGACAAAGGATGAGAGTCTGAGAAAGACTTTAAGCATGAAGCCACCTCTATTCCTAATGTTAATATACACCACTTAGTAAATGGTTGTTGATTATACAACTTATGCTAGGCATAGTTTGGGAGGGGAAAAAAATCCAACAATAAATTAAGACAGAAGTCCTTGAATTTGTGAGGCTAAACCTGGATTGAATGTACCCTGAGGCCTGATTTAGGTAAGATGGGAGTCATTTTTCAAGCTTTACTTGAGATATATTTTGCACAGCTGGACCTGGTGTTACATGTTTGTAATCCTCCTTTCAGGGTGCTGAGACAGTAGGATCTTGGTGAATTTGAGGCTAGTCTGGGCTACCCAATAAGACCCTGTCTGCAAGAAAACAAACCAAGATGTATTTTAACACACAACACAACTCATCCATGCAAAGTTAGCAATTCAATAGTTTAGAATGTGAGAATAGTCATGAATTAATTTTAGGATATTTTCATGCTCCTTCAAAGAAACCTTATGATCATTAGAGATTACATGTCTTCTTACTCTGAGGTTAGCAATAGTTTATGTCTGCATTGGTTTACTAGCTCTGGACATACCAAATAAAGAGAATCATAAGATACGTGGTTGTAAGTTCTTTAACTTCATTATGCATATTGTACTATAAATTATGATTTCATTTTTTACAAGGTTATCTGCTTCAAAAAATAATGAATGCACAATGAGATGTATTGCAGTTTATACCTAATTTAGACTTTCTTTCATACCACAAGAAAGCTCTCTTCTACCTGAACATAAAGCTTTGAATGGGAAGGTTTTGCTTTAGAGTTAGAAACATTTCAGTCAACTTAAAGATGAGAAGAAGGTTACAAGAAGACAGGTTCACTGAAGGTTTACAGCAGAAGAAAGACTAGAAGCAATGTGTCTTGACTCCTTACTTTTGCTTCATCATGGAGCTTGCTTAGTATAGATTTTAAGTCATATTTACTGTTAAGTCTCTGTAATTGACTTAAAGCAAATACAATTATTTTGATTCTTTTCAGTTTATTTGATTTTTCTCTCCTGTAATTTGAGGAAACAAATCAAGAAAATCAAATTTATCTCCAAACAAACATAATGATACATTTTATATTACTTTTATAAAACTACTACAGAAATCATCCATAAAGTTGTGCACCCCGCAATGTTCAGAAGGACCTTCTGTAGCTCTCAATTTGACAAGTCACACATGGTATAAAAATTTTTTTAAAGGCAACAGCTAGTATATCTATCTACCTTGCATCTCTAGCAATATGCTTTTCTTTATTTTCTAAATATATTTGTCTCTATGATGCTTGTGTGTGTTTATGAGTGATGAGCCTATGTTCTTGCGTTTAAGGTGAATGTATAGAGGTCAAAGAATAGTCTTGTGTGTTTATCTTCATTTCCCACCTTAATTGATACAGTGTCTTTTATAATTTAATGGCCACGTACACCAGGATCCACAGTCTTATGTGTTTATCTTCATTTCCCACCTTAATTGATACAGTGTCTTTTATAATTTAATGGCCACGTACACCAGGATCCATAGCACATGATCTTCCAGGGATGCTCTTGTCTTTGCCTTCCATGTAGCAGTGGGGCACAGTTGCACACTGCCTCATCTGGCCTCATGTGGGCTTGGGTTCCAACCTCAGATTCTCACATGTACAGGTCAAGTGTTTTTACCCACAAAGTCCTCTCCCTACTTCCTATTTTTCTGTCCTGAATTGCTTGAAACCATAAAGAATAAATCTTAAAAACAAGCATTGAGTCTATGGTAACATTAGAGGCTGGGAGGTGGGTAAGATTTCAGTGCCTTTAGACTCCATGGTTAGTTTGCTTAGCCTCTGAAGTCAATGAATAACACTGTATCATTTAACCAGTGCCCACCACAACTGTTTGGGAGGGTTTAGCCTCCACTCAAGTCTGGATTCCAGAAGGAAAAGATTTGTTTGAACAGCCATGTAATAAGTAGCTCAGAAGTTCCTAAAATACGTCTTTACATTTCTTCAACTTTATCTCACCCAGAACCTGAAGTTTTCTAATGGTCCTCACTTTTTTTAACTTCCAGGTTGCAGCATTTTACTTCAGTGTCTTTGGACCCAACCCCCTACTTTTATTTCTTCTCCAAGAACAACAGTCTTCAGAATCATGAGTGGAATGAGTGTTAGATTTGGATTTTCTGCCCCTGATTATTATAATACAGTGCAGCTACCATTTTTGAGGTTTATGCTTCATATTTATTATTCCTTCTCCACATTATCCCAGTCTTAACATGTGCTTGGGATTTTTTAATGTAGCATTCATTAATACTGATTTCTTATTTCTCTAATGAAGGCAGAAATTGAAAGGTTATGTGAATTTTATTTAACCACGTTGTTCTAGTAGATATATGTAAGTAGTATAAGAACCTCTCATCTGTACACAAAATCAAATATAGAATTAAGTGGTCATTAGTTATTCTTCTACATGCAACATACTTCTAAATTCTAATTAACATCTTAATATATCATTTTATCATCATTAAATTGTATACTATGTTAGATATTAAGAACAGGAGATTTTCATGTGATGGAGACAACAGTAAAGTATCAATCTCCTGGAAAAACCTGACATTATCAGTATGAGCTCTACCACAGAGCTGCAGTCCCAACCCTTAGCAGGACTATCATGTAATCCATCAGAGACTGCTATTCTCACCTCATACTCAAGAACAAAGTCATTCAAGACCTTCCACAGCATCTCAGTCCTAGGGCCCAAAGACAGGAGGAAAAGCAAGCCAGAAATGTCTAAGCCAACTGAAACATTTGATACTGAAAGTTTCCAAAGTCTCCTATCCACAGAAAGTTTATATTATAATAAAAAAAACTCTTTTACTTTTGGGGTTTATGGATGCCAGGCAAATGTTCTACCACTGACCTACATCCTCAGATGACCTCCATCTTCCAACCCATACACACAACATAAATCTTTAAATACAACATCTATGTTATTGGAAAGTCGGGAAGGAATCAGGGTCTTGTTTGGACTCCAAGGTTATCTTTTCTGTAGTCCTGCAAAGTCATCTTCCTCCTGCCTCCTGGTGTGCAGTGTAAATACTTGAGCAGTGCCTTCCTTTCTCAAGTTAACAACATTCTTAGTCGTTTAGTCCCATAGTCCTCAAATCCTACTCCTTCCACAGCCTGTCTAAAGCTTTCTATAGAGGCCTCCCAGGCTCACAGCTACAAGTTAATGCTCTATAAATAAATAGCTATGATTTGCATGGTTATTTTCTTTTTTTAACCATATTAATATAAATGTAGTTAATCTCATTCTAAAACATCTTATTAGTTTTTTTACATTTTTTTAAAAATTTCATACATGATGTATCACACCATTTCTGCACCATACCATGATGCCTCCAACTCTTCAAATGTCCTCTCCTTCTCAAATTTATGAACTCTTCTTTTTTTAATTATTATAGCATTTTAATATGTTTTTCTATTCATTGATAGCATAACCTTTCATATGTGAAAATATGCTGGTTTGGATAATATTACGTGGTTACTCATATATGTTTATTGACACTACTAAGATCTACTAGATCTACTGTATATAGTTTTGATTTTTACTCCTTCTGTAGGGCTTTGGGTTGTGAGTACCATGCAAAGTCTTCCAGCATCAATGAATAATGACCTTAAATTACAAGTATTCTAAAAAGGAGAATGATAGTAACTCCCTATCGGCCATCATTGCTGATGTTTCCAGAACATAATTCATTTTGGATGATAGCAAGTGCTAGAAGAAAACTAAAGCACTGCATAAGGATAGGGGTTAATAATTTGGGAAAGTACATTTTAGGTACTTGGGAGAGTTCTGAGTGAGCAAAAGTGCTTGTTATAAAATAAGAGGACATGAATTGAAAACTCCACAGACGAGGCTGGCTGGGCATGGCTGTGGATGCCTATATCCTCAGAACACGTAAAGCAGACAGGTGCATCCCAGAAGTTAATGACCAGCCTTCTGAAATGTTAAGCTTCAGGTTTGTTGTATAACCTGTCCCCAAAATTAAGATGGAGAGTAATAGAGGACACTACCTGATCTCTGCCTCTGGTGTCTATATGCTTTATTGGTATGTGTATGCAATATGCGTATGCATGCAAAACACACATGCAAACACAAAGATGAAAATCTTAAATTAATAATGAGATAAACTAGTATTGAAAGTCCATCATAATGGAAGTCAGGGCAAGAGCTGAAGGTAGGAAGCTGGAGGTCAGAACTAACATAGACCCTGAAGTAATGATGCTTATTGGCTTCTGCTTTGGTTTCTGCATACAGGTCCTGCCTTGGTTTCCTGCCTTGACTTCCTTCAATGATGGACTGTGATTTTGAAAAGTAAGTGAAATAAACCCTTTCCTCCCTGAATAACAGTGCTGTGGCAGTCTGATTCCCTTCTCTTTTTATCAAAGGATCATGGTTGCATTTGAACGTTGGGCAGGAAAACTATGCACCCCTTCATGACTTGTGCATCAGTTTCTGCCTCCATGTTTCTTCTTTATTTCTTTTTCTTTCTTTCTTTCTTTCTTTCTTTTTTTTGCTTGTCTCAATGATAGATTGCTGTCTGAAAGGTGTAAGATGAAACAAACCCTTTCCTTCCCAAGTTGCTTTTGATCATGGTAGTGCTTTTGATCACAACGAAAGGAAAGTAACTAAGACAGGAAGGAATGTAGGGGATGGAATGAAATCCAGGGGAGGACATGTCTTCAATAGCATGGAATAGAGTTGTCAGAGGCACCCATAGAAAGTCTTGTGGAGTGAGTTACTTTCCATGAAAATGGTTGCAACAAAAGAGCGGGCCTGACTTCTGAATTATCCCTGATCTCCTGTCTTACCGTGTGATCCCTCTCATATGCCTTTTCACCATGATGCCATCTAGATGATGCCTTAGTAGAATTTGAATAATTGGGGTGACCTGATTTTGGATTTTCCAACTTCCATACCAAAAACTTTTTCCTTATAAATTATATATCTAAGGTATTTGTTCATAGCAATTAAAAACTGATTAATATACTACTCCAGGGTTTTATAATGAGTATGTAGTTTATTTCCCCCATAGTTTAAAAGTCCCATAGTTAACACATTTTGGAAGTGGAGAAAAGTGATCATAAGTTATCCCCATTGAAACAGTAACTGAAGAAGGGCAGCTCTTCATTTGTGATAGTCACTACTTTGTCATCACATACTAGAGCAAAGACAGAAAAATAATTTTGACAATTATTTAAATATGCATTAAATATACCTCAATGATTAAAGGGATGTAATTGAATAAGGTCAGAATGCATGGAAAGCCTTATCACAGTTCATTTCATTTCAGGCTGACTATTAGCTGATCTGCTGTAAAAGAGAATCCACAAAGGGAAGATGCATATATAGAAGTTCATGGCCCCAAAATGATCCCATAGGCTTATGTATCTTTATGCTTGGTGCCCAGGTGGTGAATTGTTTGGGAAAGATAAGGAGATGAGGTCTTGTTGGAGGAAATGTATCACTGGAGGTGGGTGTTGGGTTTCAAAAACCCACACAGGTCCAGTCTCTCTCTCTCTCTCTCTCTCTCTCTCTCTCTCTCTCTCTCTCTCTCTCCCCTCTCTCTCTCTCCCTCCCCCTTTCTCTCTCCCTCCCTCTTTCTTTTCTATATTTCCCTCTCTATATATACCCCCCTCTCCTTCTGCCTGTGCATCAGGATGTAAATCTCAGCTACCTCTCAAGCACCATGTCTGCCTGCATGGCACCTTGCTTTCCACCATGATGATAATGGCTCAAAACTTTGAACTGTAAGCCAGACCCAATAATTGTTTTCCTTTATAAGAGTTGCTGTGGTCATAGTGTCTCTTCACAACAACAGAACATTGACTAAGACAGAAGTTGTGACCAAGCAGTGATAAGCCTAACCATTTGACAGAATGTGGAATTCAGGTCTTTAGAGTAGAAAAAAAGTTGAAAAAAGTTGCTTTAACTGAGGTTTAATGCTCCACATTAGTAGGAGTAGGTGCTGAGAATAATATAGATTATGATGACCTGGCTCAAGATGTTTCAGAGGAGAATATTAGTAAGTGGACTAGAGATTATTCTCATGATATTTTGGCAAAGAATGTGTCTAGTTTTTTCCCTTGTATAAAAATTCTTTCTGAGGCTAAACTGAAATGGTTTGAATTAATAAGAATTGGCAGAGGAGCTTTCAAAATGGGCTAGTATTGATGGTGTCATATAATTATTAGCGAGCACCCTTATGCAGATCTATAATGAAAAGGAGCAAGCTGAGCAAGGAAAAATACAAAATGTACAGTTTGAGGAAAAATAAGGAACCAGGAAGTATAATGCAGCTAAGTTCTGTGCTTGATTAGAAAAATAGATTAAAGAAAAGCCTAATGGAAAATGGAATAAAGGGAATGGTGATCTCTAGGCTTCCAACTTGTGAAAAGGAATAAAAGAAAAGCTTAGGGGAGGGGCTCACAGATTGCCTTGAGAAGGGGAAATGGAGGAGATCTACATGAGTAAACTGGAGGTGAGGGGGGAAATAGAGAGTAGGGGATGGGGGATGAGAACATAGGGAAATGGGATGGTCAAGCTGGAACAGGGACAGAGTGAGAGAGCAATAGAAGAGACACCATGATAGAAGGAGACATCATGAGAAGAAGGAGAAACCAGGTGCTAGGGAAGTCCCCAGGAATCTACAAGGATGACCCCAGCTTACTACTAGCAATAGTAGAGAGGGTACGTGAACTGGCTTATCCCAGTAATCAGATGGGTAAATACCCTAGCTGTCATCATAGAACCTTCATCTAGTAACTGATAGAAACAGATGCAGAGATCCACAGCCAAACCCCAGGCTTAATCCAGTCGAAGAGAGAGAACAGGAATTCTATGAGCAAGGGGCATTAAGAGCATGATAAGGAAACATACAGAGACAACCAAACCAAACTAGTGGGAACTAATGGACTTTAGATCAACAGCTATGGAGCCTCCACGGTACTGGACTAGGCCCTCTGCATAAACGAGACAGTTGTGTAGCTTAATCTACTTAAGGGACCCCCTGGCAGTTGATGTGGGATAATGCCCTTGTACACTGGTTTAATAAAACACTGATTGGCCAGTAGCCAGACAAAAAGTATAGGTGGAGTGAGCTGACAAGGAGAATTCTGGGAAGAGGAAGGATTGAGTCAGGAGTCACCAGCCAGACACAGAGAAAGCAAGATATGAAAGCAGAACTGAGAAAAGGTACCAAGCCACATGGCTAAACATAGATAATATGTGTTAATTTAAGTGTAAGAGCTAGTCAGTAATAAGCCCGAGCTAATAGACAAGCAGTTATAATTAATATAAGCTTCTGAGTTATTATTTTATTAGCAGGCCACAGATCTGCAGGAGCTTGGCGGGACCTGGAGAAAACTTCCAGCTACAGGCAGTAGGACCAGGATCCATTCCTGGTGCATGAGATGGCTTTTTGGAGCCTACTCCCTATGGTGGGATACCTTGCACAGCCTTGATGCAGGGGTAGGGGCTTGGACCTGCCTCAACTGAATGCACTAGGCTCTGCTGACTCCCCATGGGAGACTTTACCTAGTTGCAGGAGGGAATAGAAGGTGGATTGGGGGGAAGTCTGGGGGAACAGGAGGAGGAAAGAGAGGGGAGCCTGAGCCTGATATTGGTATGTAAAATAAATAAATAAATAAATAAATAAATAAATAAATAAATAAATAAATAAAATGTTCAAAAAAAATAATTGAAAAGCTTAGGGCTAGGTATGGTATAGCAAGTTCCAGCACAGCCAAACTTAGGCAATGAAGAAAACCATAAAAAACAGAAGGCTGGTCAAGATGTATTTGAATAAGGGGACACGTTCCAGTCCCAGAAAGCAGAAGAACTTAGCAACTTCAACCAAATGGTTCTTGTTTTAGAGTCAATGATACAAGAAAGGGGTTGTGGAGTCCTCCTTCACAGTTAGGAAAAACTGATGAAGCCAAGTGCATGTTAGGTGAGTCCCTGCATGAAGCCCAGACTGGCAATTGTGTGCAGCTACGAAGGTGAAGCCTAGGTTGCCTTAGGGAACCCAAGATGTTGGGGATGCTAGAGTCTTGGGATACCTGCTGATGAAAACTGCTAACAGCTATGGAACCAACCCAAGAGAGAGAAGTGTGTTGCAGTCAAGAAAGCTGAGAGGAGTTGGAGATCTGATGAGTACTTTGACATGAGACATGGAGATACAGAGTTTGGAGTTTGCTCAGCTGGGTTTTGGTCTTGTTTTGGTCCAGTGGTTTTTTTTTTGTTTGTTTGTTTGTTTATTTTTCACTATGCTTCCATTCTCCTTTTTGGAATGGTATGGTGGTATTTTATTTGTACTGAAATGTGATTTTAATTGTATGTTAATAAATAAAGTTGCCC